TCAAACTCATCATGTGAATGGTAATACTATATCTAATTTTGACAAAGAAACTCCTCAGTCTTCACTTAAACCTAAAAAAGCAATCGTTATAAATATCACCAACACTACAAAGAGCTCGCCTATATCATCAAATGTATTTTTGTCAACCAATACATCCCCGGCATCAAATCAACTATCGGCTAATAATAACCTTGATAGTTTCGATGAATCAATAATCTAAGATAAGAAATCAATATATTCGACATCGATGTTTAATAAGCACCAGAAATAGGAAAACCCATTTCGCTCGAGTCTTTCTCTTCTACTAGAACATAATTATTTAAAAATATTAAATCGTGAAGAAAATTCAGTTTAAATTATGCCCCCTCAAAATAAATTAATATCAAATTAAATTAAATACCGAGAGAAGCATCTAATCCACTGAAATTCAAGGATATTTATATTTTATGTCCTTTTTAAATTTTCAAGATTTTTTTATATAACAAAATAATCATATACTTTATAATGGGACTAATATATACAATAAATAATAACAAAATTTAATGAAATACTTAATAAACTTAATTTATGCCTTAAGAACAGCGAACTTTATGGCATAAATAAACTCAGGAAAAGAAATCGTTAAATAAATCACAGTGAAATGAGAAAAAACTTTTGTCAGTAACTTAATTCTTCAAAAAATAAATCATTGCTTAAGTGGTAAATTTTTATTCTGGACTACTAATATAATATTATAGAGAAAGAAATTATAAAAGCCCTTGAGAACAAATTACATGCTCAGTTTTTCAATTCAAAATCTATAAAAAAAATTAAATGGAGTATTCGGTTATTATTAAAATGCTGTTAAATTTTGCAAAGTTTTTTGCAGATTGAAACAAAAATTTCAAGAAATTTTTGAGCAAAAGTCTGAAGATTTTTTTTGAAAAACAGAATTTGATCAATTTTTACCTAAAAATTTCAAAATTTTTTTTTGCGTAACTCTTTTATAATTTTCGTTCAAAATTTTTTTTAAACTCTTGTTTTATTAATGCTTTTGCTGTTTTCAGTTTTAAGAAACCTTAAAAATTAAGCGGGTTGTGGGACTTACACTGAGAGATAAGGAATATAAACAAAATAAGTAAATTATTAAATATTTTTTTACTATCATTAATAAAACTTAAACTTGCTTGGCATTTAAATCAGATCCCTTTTTAAATGTAAGCTAGTCTCACAATCACAAAAAAGGATCGTTTTGTGATTTTAACAAACATAACATTGTAATAGAAGAATATTCGTTCCATATTTACCACCAGTATAATATATCATTTAATTATCTTTCTAAGGCCCTCGCAATTAAAAAATTTGTTATCGCCTATAATGTTGTTAAAAACCTCAATTTAGCCAATTTTTGAAAAACGGCTAGATTCAGAAAAAAAATATTGATTGACCCCCATAAAAGATGGTTTAGCTTAGCCCTGGAAAAATCTTAAGGCTTAAAAGTAATATTACCTTAAAAGCGAATATCTCGATATAGCCATTTTTTCTAAAAAAAAAATCAGAGATTTCGAGGTTAAAAACAATAAATACCTTTATTAATGCATGAATGAACTCGGTTCCATTCCAATTCTGCGAAACTTTTATCGCGAATTCACATTAGCAAATACTATTCCACAAAGACAATATTGCCAAACCTTTATCGCGAAAAATAGCGAATCAATAATCACAAAAATTTATAGCAAAGTCATTATCGTGAAAATAATATAACGAAAACTATTTCGCTAAACTATATCACGAAGATATTATATCGCGAGGTCAACATCGCGATAATTGCTAAATGACTATTTTATTTTGAAACATTTATTTTTATGATCAATTAAATAATATTTTTAAAATAATAGGTATGAAATTGATTCAATGATCGTTTTTAATTTTCTTTTAATCATAATATTTATAAGAGTTCTGCAGGTCGGCCCTAAGCTCAGGTATACGAGCCGGGTCGAATTTTATTTTTTTAAATATACCCGGACCTGGCCCTAAAGATATTTTTTTAAATACCCGGGCCGGGTCGGGTCTAATTTATTTAACAAAATACCCGGTAACACTATTAGCTTTAAAAATTAAAAATAAATGTAATATATATCCGGACAGGACCGACTGGGCTTGGCAGGGCCTAAAACAAAATTTTCTTTTAAAATTCTGGTCTGAGCCTTGTAAATTGTACCACTGCAGCTCTCTAATTTTTAAAAATTAATTAATGAACTTAGATTTGGTTATAAAATTTATTGATGTAATAAAAAAAAATTGCTATCCTGTCCTATGCTTTTAATTAAAGTCTTATTAAGAATTGCGCACAAAGAACTTAGGATTTATTAATAAATTAATCATTGAGTTCATATCTGAGTTGTGCCAATATTATCTAATGAGTACTTAATATTTATAAATTTATCAATCAAGTCAGTAACTAAAAACAGTTATAAGCTAAATAAAAAGTTACTCATTAAACTATCTTTATCGAATTTTGAATGGCGATTCGAAAATAAAATTACATCTAAGTGAAGTAAGGCATTTCTTAATCAAAATATTTTTGAATCTTTTTTACGATCTTTTATATATTTTTTTATCTTTATTGTTTAATTAGATATAAAATATTAGTTATATTTTCAAAAAATTTGAAAGGAATCTGAATCTAATATTAAGACGAAGTTTGACAAACTTTAGCAAGCATTAATTTTGAAGCTTTGGCCAATATGTAATGCTTAATTACAATACATGTGGATTAATGCTTCGACATATATTTTATCCCCTTAATTACTCAGAATTAAAAATACTTAAAGTAATTTTTATTGTTCCCAAGCTGATTTTGCTATATAAAAATTTTAATTTTCTCAGAATTTAATTTTTTAAGAAATATAATATAACGCTCAGAAATTTTTACAATTTTTATTTTTAATGCATAAGCATGATTTTTTAAGTTTTAAAATTAATCATTGCTCTATATTTTCTGATTTACATGAAGAAGTGGGGGTAATCATTTTTCCAAAAAGGTATCTAGGAAAGGGTTCCAAATGGAAGTTAATAAAATGATTATTAGTACTATTAAAATTACTTATCACTCTATCTCGGCCCTGGGTTCACGGTTTGGAAAGATTTAAATTTCTTTTACAATAAATATCCGACAAGGGCATTAAATAAAAATATTCTTTGAATGCTATTATCCCTCTAAGTTTGATCTAGCTCATTGATAGAAGGGAGGGGGGGTGTAAAAACCTACTCTGAAATAAATCTCTATAAAGGTATTAAATGAAAGCTAATTTAAAAAATATAATTAATTCATAGTTACTATCACTTTGTTTCAAGTCTGTGTCTGGTTAAGGAGAGGGAAGGTTAAAATACTTATAACATTTTCCACATGGGCATCAAATGAAAGTAAAAAATGGCGAAAAACATAAACTTTCTTTCTTTCTTTTAGATGTAGTTACTATCATATCAAAAAGTTATATCGATGTGCATTATGTAAAAATAATCATTGGGAGCCATATAAATGTGGTAGGGGAGAACGGGGTAAAACAAGAGATATTTTGGCATAAAATTTTTAAACATAATAAAACAGAGCAAATTATAAATTTATATGTAGCCAAATCCCTCATCTACAAAATAAAAAAGTTTAGTTCTCTATCTTTAAAACTTTAGCTGTGAATTATGTGAGTGTGACATTTTCGCCATTTTACCCCATACCAGTGAAAAGTGGCTAAGCATCGGGATAAAGTGATTAAAATAAAATTGAACTTAATTATATTGTTTAATTTAACAAAATATTGCAATTTTGACATCTATTCATCACTTTTAAATATATACTAATCAATACAATACCGGAATATAAAAAATTATATCAAAAAATGACACATATTGAGTATATCGTACATTTCAATTATTCACCCCCTTTATGACTATTCTTAAAATTTTATTCCAAATAACATAGAAGATATTTATTAATGTTCCTTCTTGCCGAAAAATATCTTTTTTTAGCTTAAATGAGATGGAACATTTGAACCATTTTATCCTAAGAATTTTACCCCAAAGTGATTTATATTGTGCTAATCGTTATTATCTGATTTCTAGTTAAGCTATAAACTTCCGATAAATTTTATATTATAGTTATGGCTTTAAGGAACATGTATACAAAATTTTAAATTCTTACCCTTAATTATATTTTGCTAAAAGCAAAATTAATTTGAGGGAATTTTTGGGTGAAAACGGGTTCTTGGCAAAATATGCCAAACCAGGAAAGATATCCCAGTCTCCCCTATAATCTCCATAAAACTTTTTTTTAATAAATCATATTAGACTTTATATATTTCTATCTACGGGTTCCGATAAAGGAACATTTTCTAAAGAAATATATTTTTAAAAGATTCCCTTTTATTATTTATACAACAATTTAGAAAAATCTTTTTAAAAAATGAACTCGAAAAATTTAATAAAACAAATTCTGAGAATATTTTAAAAAATTACTAAGCAAAATCTTCTATGATTTTTAAAAATATTCTTAGAAAAACAGTAAAAATTCTTAACTTCATTTTTATCTTGATTGGGAAAAATTCTAAGCATTTCAGAATATTTGTTAAAAGTTGCTTTTAATGGTATAAAATACATCTTTTAAAATTTATGTTGGAGAGAGGGAGGGGTGTAAATTTATTAGGGTAAAAACTTGAACCAAAATGTCTCCTCTGTATTTGCAACCATAAGTGAGAAGAGAACAGAAAGAAATTGGCCAATTTACTTTTTATTTAATCAGATAGGTGACAAGTAACAAAAGATCCTTAAAACATTTCGCGTTTAGGATTTAAAGAACTTTTAATATTGAATATATTGTTTTTCTTTAAACGATAAAAGTTTCGCTGAATTGACCTGATACGATGAGCTTTAAAAATAAAATTTAATGAATACTTTATTCTTAGTAATTTGTCAAATTTAATATATATTATAATAAGACAATAGTATATTTACTTCATATAATTAACATTAAAATTTATAATATAAATAGCTTAGTATTATTAGCATATTGCAGGAATCACCAGGTTCTAGAGAAATTATAAAAATCTAATCCATTGCCTCCGGTCAAATAAAATATCTCTTTCTTGCAATCATAGGTTTCAGCTAAAATTCATCAAACCAAAAATATATAAAATAATATAAATGTTATTATTCATTCCATTCATAACAAGTTATTAAATTTTGTAAATTGTTTAAATTATATTCCATTTCCTAAAATAAAAAAGGCTTTAGAGGTTAAGCTCTGGGCTATCAACTTTATTAGGTTGGTGATTATTAGAAGTTCATTTTCATTTCTTTATTAATTAACAATATTCTTTTTATGAAGATAAAGTTTTTTTTCAAAATAAGAAAATCTCACGATAATATTATAATACCTGAAGGATGTTGTAACCATTTTCTTTCGATGTAATAGTCTATCATATTAAACATTTCTGATTGGTTAAAATTTTTGAGGCTTACGGGCATAAAAGGATCAAAGAATTCGAATCCCTAACCATATTTTAAAAAAATACTTATACAATAGTATATAATAAAATAAAACTATAATAGTATTAATACTCAAGTTCAATATTTAAAAAAAATAAAAAATTACTTCGGATTTTAATAAATATTTAGGCATAAAAGAATGATTTTTTTCGCGTTTTTCATTTAGATATTGATCGTCTATAGTGCAAATCGCGGCTCCACCGACCTTCAAAAAGACAAAATATTTTGTTTTTATCGCAATGCAGATATGATAATGTTTTTAAATTTAATTTCGTCTATAAAAGTTATATAGCTTCAAACTAATCAGAACATAAAGGTAATCATTAAAAATGGATATATTCGATTTTATTTATTTTATATAACTGTATATATTTCCTTTCTTTGAAATATAAATGTATGTAAAAAATATTTCTTACATATCAATAAGAAATATTAAACAAAATTTAGGGTTCAGGGTTCAAAATAACTTCTTTTTTTGAAAAAATTAAACTTTTATTTATTTTGAAAAATATATTAAAAATAACATATATAAAACTATATTAAAATTTAATATAAAAAGTATGTAAATTTTAACTTATACAAAACATAAATTTTTTTATTTTTCAATATAAAAATTAATTTTTTATGAAAATTATTTTTCGTGAAATCCTTTTTATATTTTTGAGTAGTCCATTTTATGTAAAATTTTTTAAAATACCATAATATTTTGTAAGATTTTTTAAAATATATATTTTAGGAATATTTATTGTTGCTTTATGGATTATTAAATTAAAAGTAAGACCAAGGAAAAGAACAAAATTACAAGGTAAAATAGCCTCAAATGCAAGCTGCAATGCACTGTCAAAGTTAGGCATAAAAAATCGATATTTTAATTTACATTTCGATTTTGGAATACAAATTTTTTAAAATATAGAATATTATTTTTTAAATTGTAAATTATTTTTATGAAGTGCTAAATATAGTAAAATAAATTTTTAATAAGTCTTTATATATTTTCTGTCCCTGAACCCATCTGAACACGAAGCTGGTTCAGCTATATTTCACTGAACCAGAAATCGAACCCTTTTTTTAAAAAAGAAGGATTCACAGCCCTGCCCGATATAAAATAAATTATGGTCTATACCCAATCATTTTTCAGCATCTTCTTTATGTGATATATTAAAGCGACATCGTTACAATCGATCTAAAAAATTGAAAATAAACATGTCATTTTAAAATGTTTAAAAATTAATTACATAGAGAATAACAAAAAAAAAGAGTTAATTTAAGTTTTAAAGATTTGTAATTAGATTATCAATATAACATACTGAATAGAAATATTGTGCGAAGCAAAGAATTTTTTAATGTGATATATTATAAGTTAAGGTATCGCAACAAAATACGAACTGATTTTTTTATTTAAAGTGAAATGTACATATCGCTTGTTTTGATCTGGTATCCGAGATGAACCGAAAAAGGCATTGACCACATCGGCTATTAGAATTATCTTGAATCTAGTTTAATTATTAGTGTTAATCAAAGTAGTAATAATAAAAAGAAACTTGGAAAAAATATGATATCGTTATATCGTATATTTACTTTAGTGTGCACGCTTGAAGTTTGAGCTCTTTGAACAATATACCTACAATATCAGTGGCGTACAGAGGCCTTTCTATGCCCTTGCATAAAAAATAATAATGAGAAATTAAAAATAAAAGGTTGAACACTTAGATTTCTCCTAATTTTAAAAAATAAAAAAATATTAAGCATATTTAAAATGTCACGCGAAACCTTAAACTTTTATAGAATAATATTGTTTTAAGATTATGGAGCATGATTGGAACCTGCAGGCGAACAATTTCAATCACCCATAGTATAAGGAGATGGGCCCGACCAACCCAGATTTTTTAAAAAAAAACAAATTCTCGATCCAACCTTAACCAAAAATAAATCCTATTTCTCAAACCCAACTTGACAATAAAATATAAAAAAATTTACCCAAATATACTAATAAATAATTAAAAATGCACGAAATTTCAATGTTAATAATTTATGCAATCTAAAATTTTAAAAATATCGCTGGTTGATTAATATAGGGTTATCCATTTTTAGTCGAAATTGAGTTAGGCCTTACTCAGTTAGACCTATTTGTTGATTTTTATATTCAAACCTCATACTATCCCCTTTTCCCTGAACTTAATTTTCTTATAAATATTAAATTTCATCTTACGCCCCCCCCCCTATACAAAAGAACCCATCAAGCTTCTTTTCTCTTTATTCTAAACTCTCTCACTCCCCTCTTCACCTAATATTTATTTTCATAGATATTTTATTTCATATTCCATATGCTATTATACCCCAGGCACCCTTTCAGAATTTTACTCCATATATCCCAGCTTTTACTCTCTCCCTTTCTTTGAATTTATCTCCTTATAAATCTAAAGTTGGATTACTATAATACCCCTTTCATTCTACCCATGACCAACTTGGATATTAAAAATTTGAGTAATTTTGTCTAAATATATCCCTTAAGTATTATGATAAATTATTATTATTACAAAGTTATAGGCCATTTTTTGATCCAGAATGCTTTAAACATAAAGTATAGCAAAAACTTTAAAAATCATACGTTTTGGGCTAAAAAAAAGAGCGTTTTTAGAGCGATAATACTAAATATATTAAAGGGGAGGGGTGATATTTTTCCCAGGTTTACTTGAATATGGTACCACAACATCCATCTACAAATAACATTTTTGAAATTTCAGGTTTAATAATAATTTTCTATTTAAAGTTTTATCTATGGACATAGGACCTATAACAACCTTTTTTAAACTAAAATTGAATACGATGTTATATCTCCACTTTTCTAAAATAAATTTTTTAAAATTTTCAAAGAAGTTATAGAATTAACAATTCAAAAAATGTGTTTTTTAAAATCGCTTTCATAAAATAATTAATCTGAATGGGCATAGAATCAGCCAATGTTACGAAAAGATGTATTTTTTAATTATATTCTTCGATTTTTAGAGCTAATCTTTTAGAGATCTACAAAGCCCAACCCGCGAGCCAAATGGAAAAATAAAAAAAATATAATATATCGGGTCGGGTAATATGTACACAAAAAAAAATTCCGGGAGGCCAGGTAATTTATGCCTAAAAATCAATTTCCCGAATTTTCCCTTAATATAGATATATTATTTATTTGCAAAAATTATGATTTATATTTTATAAAATATAATATTTTATTTCAATAATTATAATTTATAAATAATTTTTATTTTCCTCGTGAGTCTTTAAACTTATTTTTTTTTATTAGTGCAATCATTGAGTGCAATTTTTCAAATCTATAATTTTAAAAGTACAAAAATAAAGGTAAAATGTTTCACATTATATTCTCATACATAATATTAATGTGATATATTATAGAATTATTAATAATTAATGATATATTTAGATTTGATATATAATAGTGCGCACAAATTGAACGTTTGCAGTATGTTTGTTAATGTAACGCATCTTTGTTTAGATTGAAAGCAGTATGTTTTTTATTAAAGTTTTTTTTATAATTTCTTAAACAAAAATAGTATTTCTTACCTTAAGGTAAAATAAGGAAGTTTAATTATATTTGTTTATTTAGATTTCCTAAGAATTTATGATTCAATCAGGGTTTTCAAATTTTTTTGTGGCCTTGGATGCAAATAAATGTTTCTTTGTTTATCCTACCTTAATTTATATATTTATAATAATCTATATATTTTAATAAAAATGTGAAATAAATTTTGAATAGTTTGCATATTTATATATTTTTCAAGACACTAGATATAAAAATAAATAGATTTAGAAATATTACTAACTTCCTTAAAAATTCCAAGTCCGACAAGATGGGGAGGTTTTGTTATAATGTTGCAAAGTGTTGTGAAAAATAAGGAAGTTTTGCAAGAAATTGCAATTTCCAGTTTATTTACAAACAAACAAAGAAGGCTTAGTATATTAGACAAAGAAGGATACTGGGATAAATTAGAGTCTGTACTGACCTTTTTGGAATTTATTTATAAGAAAATTATATGCATATTAAAAAACGAAAGAAATTTTGTTGCCGAGAATATCATTATGCAACAAATCTTCTGGATCCTCGATATTATGGTGTGAAATTAACAGACCGTGAATTAACAGCAGCTTTAAATATAATAAATATTATTTCAGGCCAAATTAATTGCGATATTGGAAAAATTATAGGTAATTTAGCAGAATATCGTTCAAAACAAGGTTTCTATAAAGGAGCTGGCATATGGGAGAGCTCAATTCATACCAAACCACTCATATGGTGGAAAGGGTTGTGTACAAATCAACCCCTTTGTCAAGTGGCAGTAAGATGTCTTTCGATACCATCCTCAAGTGCCTCGTCAGGTCAGCATTTGGAAATTCATTCAAAAACGAGAAATAGAATAAAGAATGAAAGAGTCGAAAAATTAATACCAATAAGGCATAACATACATTTAAAGGATCATACAAATACATCAAGTTCGGGATATCATCAAGAGTTCAGATTCCGATTTATCAATATCAACAAGTGATAATAATGATATTTCAATTTCATCCCATGAAGATATTAATGCTATTACATTAGCATCCCAAGAATTTTAAATGTAATTTCTGATACATGCTTTTTGTAATTAATAAAGTTATTCAAAAAATGATGTTTATAGTGTATTTATTTTTGTCTTTATTGTTTAATTATATTATTTTCCCTTAGTTCCCCAAATTAATAAAGTTATTCCATAAAAAAAATTGAAAGGTTTAAAGTATATTTTGTGGTTATTTTTTAATTTCCCGTTTTTTCCCCAATTTTCCCGGGGAAATTTCCCCTGAACCAATTTTCCCGGGAATTTTACATCTATACTCGCATATCTCTGATTTTTCGTAAAACTAATAGGTCAACCCGGACATTAAAATTTTGATATATTTTTAACTTCAAGCTAATATTTTTATTAATACTATTTGAAAATACATTATATGTTAATTTCTATGCATTTTAAGAGCTATCTAACTAAAATACTAAATATATAAATAAACTAGTAAATCCATAAAAATTTATATTTATGATAATAAATAATCCTCTTAAAAAGTCTATATTTATACAATAGTATCCTTTTAAAAGATATTCGTCCAATGATAATCATTATAACAATTTTATTTCAATAATAATTTTATCATGTGATTTACATATTATACATTTTATATTAATTAATGGCAATGATTTTATATACTCAATCCAATATGCCTTATAAGAAGATGATAAGATATTGGTAATTTATGTTACCGATGATTTTCTATTAATAAATATTTCACATTGGATCTCAAAATGATATGAAATTAGTGTTTTTGTCTTCATAAATTTTACTAATTTTTCTTCCTACTGCAAAAAATGACAAGTTACAGGTGAAATATTCATTCTATATAATTTTTAACAAATTTAATTTGGATAAATAAAATCTCAAAACTTTGGAGAACATTGAACAAGGAGTAGTGCCTTCCATTACAAATATTATTTTATACAATTATATATCTTTGTTACAATCTTTAAATTTCTGACACCTTAAAAAGCAATTTTTATGCATTAATCATGAATTTCTTTATACAAATAAATATGTGCTTTTACATGATAGGGAATTAGAATTTTCTCCTTTATTATTTTACAAAATATGAATTATGAATAATGATTTTGTTATTCATAAATTTTGCCAATTTTTCTTCCTACTCCAAAAAATGACAAGTTAGAGGTGCAGGTGAAATATTCATTTTTCAAAAGTATAATTTTTCAAATTTTATTTAGATAAATAAAATCTCAAAACTTTGGAAAACATTGTACAAGGAGTGCTTTGTGGCTTCCATTATAAATATTTCCACAATCTAATAAATATTTGCATTTTATACAATTGTATATCTTTGTTGTTTTAAAAAATTGAAATTGGGCTAAGCCAAACTTGGGATGGGCATTAACTAAATTCCTATTGGGCCTGAAAATGTTGTCATTTGCAGACCTCTGGCGGTAAATGCATGAAAAAATAAAAGTGGCAGACGCATATCATTTATAAATGAATTTCTGTCAGAGGTAAAATCCATTATGAGCTACTGTTTCCGATGTAATCCTGACTAGAGATGTGCAATGGGCAGGTTTTGGCGCACCTGCCTGCTCATTTGTTTAAAAATTTTGTTTGACTTACCTGTCCAATGTTTAAAAATTATTATATTGTGAGGTTCTTTATGTATTATTTTCATGTTTTTTTTTTACTTAACTATAATTTATGAAATCCCACAAGAATGACAAGGAATTAGTATTTTCTTCTTATTTTGATTATGGATAAATCAGAAATAGCCTATATGAGGTTTGAATAAAAAAATTAACTTATTTTGATGAGAGATAATTCCAAAATTTTCATTATTCTTATAAAATATGTGAGAGAAGTATATATGTATACTTATTGCATTCAATATGAACAAATATTAGAAACATGTTTGAATATAATTTTTTTAATTATAATAATTTTCTTATTTTTATAATTTTTATTATTTATGTACCCAATCAAAAATTTAATCTTGCTAGATGAGGGTTTTGTATATTGTTATCATAAAAACAGATTTTGGATTTGGACTAATTAAAAATGAGTCTTTTAAAATTGGCTTTAAGAAATTGAAAACTATTTATTTTAGGAAGAGCGTCACAGATTGTTCCATCATCAAGATACCAAATATTTATATCTAATCAAATTTAGATTGAGTATAATGGATGGATCATGAATACCATGGTAAAATAAACGGGGACATGTGCCCCCTGCTGGATTCTTTCGTCAGAATCTATGTCATGTGGGCTGAATAAAGGAGTTTTAATTTTATAGTATGTTTCTAGGAATTTTGAATAATCAGGAAATTTAGGATAAAAACAATTTATGAAATGTTCACGAAATTTGCTATTGAAAGCATTTTTAAAGTCTTACTTTGATAATAGCCATGTTTGGAGGAGGATTTTGGGTATAATACAAATGGCATGAGGCTATTTTCCCTTCTCCCTTAACACCAAATCCTAATTAGTATACTTAATAAGTTAAGACCCTGGGTTTTGACCCGTGGCAATTATTTTTTACTAATAATCTTCTAAATAGCCCATTGCAATGGGGTGGATACCACCACAGTGTTTGTGAGATAATCAGGTCTGCCCCTATAATTGATTCGAATCTATGATGGCAGGTATTTTTTAAAAGAGTATTTAGGAAGGTTTTAAAAACATTTAAATGATTTTTTGAGATGAATGTAGATTTTATACGAAGTGAGAGGGCAAAAACCATTGCAACTGGATGTTGAAAATTTGTTAAAAGAATTTATAAATATCATAACTCACAAATCATATATTTTTTATTCCATATTTTCCATGATGTATTTGGCCATTTCTCTAAAAATTTATAGAAATCTTGGAAGAATGAATAGGATAATCTATTCCTCTCATTTGGCTATTCTGATTCATCCATCATCAAATAAAGGTAAAATTTATTATTTATCCATAAAGAGAAAATTTGATTCCCCGTCATTCTTGACGGGCTATCAGCTAGTATATTATAAATACACAATATATATAACGAAACATAATTGTTATAGATAATGAAACACAATTGTTATTAAAATAGATATCTTAGAGTAAATATATAAGAGCTTTTAATCGACATTGGGTAAAAATTAGATATAGAAATAAAAATATAACGGCTGAAAAATTTGAACAAAAAATTTAACAAATGGAACTTTTCGTAAAATTACAAAGGGCTGGACCGGGTAAATTTTTTTTAAGGAAAACTTGTGCAAAAATATATAACGCGCCGAATCAGGCCTGGCCTATCAGATCTCTAGTCCTTATAAATAAATAAATAAGCATTAGGCCCAAGAAGATAATAAATCAACTTTTTAAAACATTTGGATCAAGAAAAAACAAGTTCCCTTTTTCAACTATTTTCCCTACGGCAAATAATATTTTTGAACTGGCACTTTAACCCATATATTTCATTTTTATTCTTTTGTTCTTATACATTACAAACTTGGTAACTCTAAGATTTATGGATTATTTATTATCTATATATATATATAATATATAACTGTAATATATTATATATTGTTTTATTTATATATGACTGAATGATATCATTGATTAAATTTATAAAAATCTAAACCTGACACAAGTCGAAAAATATTTTTCCATTCCTAAAATAAAAATTATTAAGATTTCTCGGCCCGAGTCGTGTCAGACCTGTACTCGTGTCTAAAATTATTTTTATAAGTCTGATATGGGCATGTCTATATAAGAGATGAATAGGAGGATTAGATTCATATGAGCCGCCATTTTTATATATAAATATTCAAACCAGTTTGATTAAATCTAGGAGCGGAGAATTCATGACCGTTGTCTCACGTTTGTTCCATACATAATCCTGGGATGTTTTAATCTATGTATTATTATTTTTAAATGTAATATATATAAAAAAATCGTAAACATAAACGAAATTTAAAGACTGAATTTGTAGTAAGAAAAGAAGTATGCGATGCGACCATTAGGCGCAGCTATGATTTTGCTAATAAAGGGTGAGAGATGGGGGCACGTGAGTTTTTAGTTAATTTTATTGGAGGTCCATAGATTCACTTATTGCAGGCCTTTGTATTTTACAATTTTTTTAATTTTGGTTTCTTACTTTTTTTATTAAAATGATGCTAAAAATTTTGATATAGTCATCATTTTTAAAAATCATTAACTTTGCTTTTTTAAATTATTGTCTACATGTTATATAGGGCTGTTATTAAATATAGGATCGTCACCGTTATTTAGCGTTTTCCAAAAATATCGGATCGGGCCAATACCTGTAAAAAACAGATGATCTCTTTACTTTTCTTTTTTTTGTTATTTTATGTATATTTATTTTAGATTAATAATATTTTCTAAATATTTTTTTTTAAACAATGCAAATGCACAACACCCCTTAAATTTTATTTATTCTTTTAAATATATTTATAGTATTTTAAAAGTTTTTTTGACAAAAATAGAAAGGAACACCCAAAGTTTAATTATTTTAAATCTTTTTAAATAATAACGCCAATTTTATTATTTTATACTTTAAATAAAAGAATTTTTTTAAATATGATATCTGAATTATGGAAATATTTTACAAAAGACAATGATTATTTTGCAAAATGCGTTATCTGCTCTAATTTTACGGGGAGGTACTACAAATATACATAAACTTTTTTTAATTATTGTAGAAATAAAAAAAATTAAATTAAATGCATAATTAGATTTTTTGCATAAAAATTATTGATTTCTTAATTACATTTGGTACAAAGGGCGGTTGTAAAAAGCATAAATATCGGATTAGTATCGGATCGGGTTTGAACCAATATTGGAAAATGTAAGATCGGATCGGTGAAAATATGGGGATCGGCACAGCACTAATGTTATATATTGTATTTTTTACGAAGAGGCGATGGTATAGAGAAAAGAAAATTTAAATAAGCTTAAAATAATATTTACGAAAATAGGCAAATTTCCGAAGGGGTAAAACGTCCCCAAGTCCCTTCTTTGTTATTATAGATGCGACATAATCACTGGTTATTTAACAGTTGATAAAGTTTATTAATATTTCAATGAAATCAATTTTGTAATATTAATATTAATAATTTTTAAAATCTCATCATAATTGAATTTTAATAAAAGATAAATAAAATTGTCTCATTAAAAAATTAAACGCGGTTAGCTGTTAAGATAAAGTTTTGTTAACTTATTATTAAGCCTAATATATAACATTATCATTCATTTTTGACATAAGATTAAATTCACCTGATAGAAGATTTAAAATGTTATTATATTTAGAAAATATGATTGAAAACTAATTTGAGAGACTAAAAGTTACAAAAGAACTGATGTATTTTAAAATTTTAATTATATATTTTAAATGGCTTATGTTATAGCCATAGATATACTATTTAAAAAAGGTTGATGAGTTCTTTAAAAATTAAAAGATATTAAATAGGGATGATTAGTGACATCGGATCGACAATTGCCGATATCAATATAATATCGGGTCGGCCTCCGAAAATTAGTGTGACTCATGATACAAGTGAATTAGTCAGTATTAAAGTTTAGTTAGTATGAAAGCATGGTATTATAACAGAAAAATCAAAATATAATTTAAATAACTCTTTAAATGATAAATCAAGTAAAACCATTAGTTGGGGGGAGGGGGAAAGGGTAAAATTTAGCAAAAGGTAAGGAAAAAATAAGTTTAATAAGGAAAAATAATAATGAAGACTCATAAATTAGAAATACAAGATCATGTAAAAATTAAAATATATCAGGCTAATCCTTAACCACAAATATGGGGTAATGCCAAATTACACGAAAATTAAAACAAAGTTTCAAAATTATAAAATACAAAAACTGAATGGAAAAAATATAAATTTAACAGAAAACTGTAAAGATAAAATTTTTTATAAAATATAATAAATTACTCTGAAATCAGAGAAAAAAAAATATAAAACTAACCGTATAATAATGAAAGAAAAATTAAGTTATAAAATAATCAAAATAATTATTTGAAAAATACAAAAAGTATATAAAGAGGAAAATATATAAACTTTACTAAAAGGAGAAAAATATATTAAAAAATCATAAAATACTCTAAAACTTGGAAAAAATTCATAAAAAAATAAGATAGCTAGTTTGTAAATGTAGCATTTATATATACTACCAATACTATCATACAAATTTTTAAAAAAATCTGAGGGAATCGGGTTGAATCTTTTGATTTGAAATGGTTTTCAACCCAAGATTCGAAAATTTTATAAATTGTTAACAAAGTTTGTAATTGCAGAGCCTGGAGCCACAACTTAATCTCCTAAATATTCAAAACCCTAATCTTTTTGGTCTAGCCAAACTCTGGGTTTTCTGTATTAATAAATTAAAATAAAATGAATACTTAGCTCAAGTAATTTAAAAAATTGCAAGATTAATAATTATTTTTTTTAAATGAGCCGAATAAAAAATGAATGATAAGTAATGGCAAAGCTAACCACACTTTTGAAAAGTAAATATTTAAAAACAAGTTATTTCTAATAATATCATTTCAAAAAAAACGGATTGTGATTTACAGTTTATTTAGTCAGTGTAATCTTTAAATATAAAAAATAATAAAAAGAATAATATGTGACTAAAAAAGGTATGGCAAAATCCGAGCTAAGCCTGAGCACTACTAAAATCTCAATTCACTTCTATTCCCAAGGAAAAAATGAACCTAACATAAATTTTTTGCAGATAATGGAATAGTAAGGTATAAAAAATATTGTAATATTTAAGGAGACTAACGTCAAATTTTTTCAATTTTTCCTCATTTTGATTGTAAAAATGTTTGAGCAAAAAATTTGATTCATTGGGAAGGTCAAATTTGTTGGGATTACTTGTCGATGGAACAACCTCTTTATATTTTGCCGATATAGCAGCACCTTAAAAAAAGGAGGAAGATTAATTAAGAATGTCTGAAAGCTCTAAAAATATAATGATACGAAATATAACTTATTTTCCAATATTTTATATTAAAATATAATATTGTTATAAGTAACTTTTGAAAAGTAACTAGTTTTAGTAATTATTTACATTGAAAGTTACTTTATAAATTATATTAATCAAAAGAATTTAAATAAATATAATAACATAATGGGGTAATTTATTGTCAAATGAGCAAGAAAGGCGGTAGGCCCGTTTTTTTAATTTGATCAAAATTTAGAGAGCTGTTACATTTTTTAGTTGGGTAAAAACAATATTATAGCTCTCAATTTCTTGTACCTTACCCATTACGAATATTATTGAAATCGGTTTGGATATTGAATTTAATATTAATAACAAGGTTGAAGATTTGTAATTATGGGGTAAAAACTGAAAAAATTTGTTTTATTAGTCATTTATTTATCCATAAAATAATTCTTCAAAATGGCTACGGGCTCGATTTTTTTCTATTTTTTGTTTCTCGTGTTTATTTCTGTAATAATTAGAACGACTGGGTCAATTTTTCAAAAAATATTCATTCATTTATTCAAAAAATATAGATGGCGCAATAATTTTAGATTTTAATCTGATAAAATTTATTCATTCATTCTTCAAACATTCTAATACATATATTACTAAATAAAATCGATTTTTAATACATATATTTTCACTCAACCTTGTTATAAAATTTTCTGTAATAAATTTGTGGAACTTCGACCTAAATAATAAATTACAGGAGCATCCATCAAATTGTCAAAAATTTTGCAAAATTGATCAATGTCCCGAATAGAAGCTCCAAAAAAAAAATTATATAAGTGATTTGAAAAAAAAATTACTTTGAACATGTCACTCTTCTACTAATGTAAAAGCAGGAAACATTCCCAGATATTTCCGACATATTCTCGGGAAAGAAATTCAAAATTTCCACTAAAATTCCTGGGAATATTTAATTAATTCCCAATGTTTAAATAGCCGAACTAAACTATATTAACAATGTTGGTACTAAGAGTGCCTAAATAAATTTACAAAAATGTAATAAATAGAATAATAAATTAAATTCATTTTCTTAATTTTTAAAATATGTAGCGCCACCATCATTGCCGCCAATTCTAGGAGGCAGCAAATTCGGTATACTGTTGAACGCAGATAAAAAAAATTTAAAAAGCTGCCAATTGAGATTTTGGAGCTTAGGTCTATTCGTATCAGATAATATTTGTATTTTTTCATGCTCTCGGCACTGATTCCCTTTCACGGATTGATTATATAATTTATGACACAAATTGATTATTTAACTTATTTAATACTAGTTAATCAATTACCTTAAAATATTATAATATATTACACATTTATTGTAGAATTCAGTGGCGTCCCCATCATGTATTTATTTTTATTATTTAAAATAAATTTCAAAATGTAGATATTTTATATAGATAAAAATGTAATTTAACAATTACATAAAATAAGTAATTCTTATGCAAATAATGGTATTTAATAAAATATGACGATATTATCAAATGATAAATAATACATAGTACTTTGATTAAAAATAGTATTAATTGCGTAAATTTTAAGAGTTAATTCAAAAATTAAATAAATGTTATAACTAAGAATTCATTTTATGAAAAAAATTTGATTATAAATATTAGGTTGCTGCTTCTCTCAGGAAGGGGGGGGGAGCTTATTATATTTTTTATTTGTGCCTACAAATTTTTTTTAAAGGAGGTAGGCTAATGGTAAGGTAAATTTTTGGTAGATGAAACTTTGCATTTTAATTTTGGTGACAATACTATAATTAAAGGAAGATCCCATAAATAAAAAAAAATTCAGCAACTTTAGGAAAATAAGCATAACTTTTTTCTGGAAATAAATATTAATTTAAAATTTTATATTTAAAATTTTTTTGGTGATAATACTATAATTAAAGGAAGATCCCGTATAAAATTTAAGCAACTTTGGGAAAATTAACATCTGTATTTATTAGGGGTAAAATAGACCACACCTTTGAAGGTTAAGAGATTTTTTTAACATTTGTAGTAAAGGGTTAAATAGGAATATAGACAAATTTCAGACAAAACTAAATTAACCTACCAGAAAAAGAATATTAATGTAAAAAAATAAACAGAAAATAATTTATATAAAAAATAACATTAAAAAAATAAAATAAGCCCTCCGAGAGAGGTAGCAACCATATATTATATATTAAAACTAATATAATCATATTGCAATTTTTTTATTTGAATTTATAAAACGAGGTCTACTTTTCTCTAAATACTTAATAGGGCTAATCCATTTAAACATTTATCACCGGTGGTATTTCTTAAATAGGTTTTTAACCTTTTTAAAGCTGAAAAAGAGCTTTCATTAGTGCAGGTACTAATTAGTATGGTATAGGGCTGTGCCGATATTAAATATCGGATCGGCACCGATATTAGCTTCTCCCAAAAAATATCGGATTAGGGCCAATACCTGTAAAAAGCCTATCCGATCTACTACTTTTCTTTTTTATTATTATTTATGTCATGTATATTTATTTTACATTATTATAACATTTACTAAATAATTTTTTTTGAAACAATGCAAATGCACACCACCTCCTAAATTTTATTTTTTTAAAATAGATTTATAGTATTTTATAAGTTTTTTTTATAGGAACACCCAAAGTTTTATTTATTTTAAATCTTTTTAAATAATAACACCAATTTTATTATTTAAACTTTAAATAAAAGAATTTTTTAAATATGGTATCTGAATTATGGAAATATTTTACAAAAGACAAATAGAATTTTGCAAAATGCGTTATCTGCGGAATTCTATTTCACGGGGAAGAATAATGAAAAATTCATTTAATACTGCATAAAAAATATTGATTTCTCAATTAAATTTGGTTCAAAGAGGGGTGGTGAAAAATCAGTATAAATATCGGATCGGTAATCGGTTTTGAACTAATATTGGAAAATATCGGATTGGACCGGTAGAAAATATGTAGATTGGCACAGCCCTAGTAAGGTAGCTAATAAATTAATGTTTTGATATTAAGCAGGAAATCTAAAGTGGAATTACACATGGAAAGGGCCTGCAGAGCATTTTTTGGTTTCAAAGAATGCTCTATTCTGTCAAGATTTTTATACCAAAATCCGACATCATAAAGTAACTTAAATCCAACTTGACAAAGTAACTTATCATATGAGCCTACTAAATCATCAGCATAAATCTCTGAGATTTTTTTTGATATCCTCCCGTGTTTCAAGTGTAATCAACAGTTTAGACTCAACCGGTAAAAGAAAATAAAAGCTTTCTAAAATAAAATTGTGACAAATAAATCTTCCTTTAATTGAAATAAAAATGTATCATTAGGGGAATAAAAATATTTATTTATAAAAATCCGCAATCGTAGATGCATCAATATTTAAGCCATTGGATTGTCTAGAAACTACTCTAGGTTTAAAAATTTCAATCCCAAACATATTAGCAATCTCCTTTACTTTCTCATATATTTCATGAAATTTCATTCTCTCTGATATTTGTTAATATTTCAACAATATCCTTTGCTCTATTCATAAATCCAAATCAATTTTTTGTAGCATTTTGCTAAAATAATATAAATATAAAAAAATACATTGAATTGATATTAAAAATTATGGTTTAATAATAGCCTGCAATAACACTACTGGTAGTATTATAAGTGAAAATTAAATCTTTTAAATCAAAAAAAAACTAGCGCACTTTTTATAAAAAAATTTAGAAATAATTTTGTTTTATTTTTTTCTCATAATGTAAATGCTTAGTATAATAATATATAAAATCATCATTTTTAAATATTTTAAATATAGTTAGTTTAGATTATAAAAAAATTTAAGTAAAAAGTCTAGAATTTATGTAATAAAAATAACTATTTATGGTAAATTCATTTTTTTGCATTTTAATAAAAAAATAATTTCGATATTATCATCCCCAAGTCAAGAGCGACGATCAGAAACTAAACTACATGTTATCGCCTTACTAAATAATCTTATTTATATTTTTAATATAAAAAAATTATCAAAAATATTCATTTGTATTTTTAGATTTAAAAAACGCGTCTAGGGAATTTTTTATTATATTAGTAACCCTTATTTCAAAGAAATTATCAAAAGGAAGTCGTTTTTACGGTTTTAACTAGGGCATTGTTTGCTATCTCAATCTTTAGTGTCTAATTGCTGTACCAGGGCAAATTTTAATCATCATAGTAAATGATAGATTATCAACCAATGACATTGGCTGAAACTGTATCAATTATAAAATCGTTTTTTCTATCTCTTTAAAACTGTTGGCATGAACATTCTTACAAAATAAAAATGCTATTAGAATTTAAAAATGACAATTACCTTTAGGAGTTTGAGAATATATTTTTTTAAGTTCGAACAAATAAATTTTAAGGAACCTTTTGTTTTTACATTAATTTGAAAATATTTTTAAATTGGAAATGGAAAATTTGTATTATTGTTATCAAGAACATTTTCTTTCAGAGTACCTTCCATTTCATTAATATCATAATTGTCTGACTCACTTAAATCGATTAGGATATCCATTAGTGATGACATTTTAAATAATTTAAAGTTATACCAGATAATTTTATAATACAAATTAAAAATATAAATTTTAATTTCAAAATTAAATAATAAATTAAAATTAATTATAATATTATATTTAAATTTTCATTTATAGTTACATCTATATATATTTAAAAGAAAGCTAAATATCGTGCTACTTAGCTACTTTCAAAAAAGGAGTGCACTAAAAAAATAAATAATTGAAAAAATGTTATAGCTACCAAAAAATGATAGTGCAGTACTTGAAGCGAGCTACTTTAATAACTCTGGCCCAACATTTACTAAAACTAGTTATAGGTATTTTAACAAATTTTAGGTTACAATATATTTTTATAAAATAATTTTGGGTTTTCAATTTTTTTATAAAAATGTCTTAAATATTATTCATATTACTATTTTTCCTTACTATTTGTAATGATTTATTGTATAGATTGGGGGGGGGGGGTATGGGGAAATTTCTTATTATCTTAATTGATATTTGCAAGGGACAAAATGGGGTGATAGATTTGCCACTTTCCCATGTAATTAGTCCCATGAATTAACTACTTTAATAGTAAACACCAAAAAATATAGTATTATATATTTATCAGCTAAATTGATCAATAAAGAAAATATGTTATATATATCAAATAATAATTTACAATTTGGAATATGAAACAAAAACCAATCTTCTACTTTCACTACATAATGTAATAAATGGCATAGCATCATTGATTTACCAGAACCATTAGGACCATCTAAATAAAAATATACTAATTTTCATCAAATATATTAATAAATTCATAATCTCAAAAGCATTGAAAAAAATTTATCTTATAACAAGCTAAAATGGTTATATTAATTATAATATTACAAATAATATATCGATTAATTAACGATGTGTCTATATTAGTATTCTGCAGATAATGAATGATTTCAAGAGAAGGCTTTCTAATCATTAATGCAAATTCCTGAAATGTTGCAACCTAAATAAACTTGTGATACATATTTAATTTGTTATAGTACTTGGCCTATAATTTCTCTTCGAAAGCTTCTGCCAACATTAAATAGTGCTTTATATTCACTCCAGGGCACCCGGTAAATTTTATTAAGATGATCAATATTATGTTTATTCTTATTTATAAATATAAATTGAGTTAAAAAATATTCATATAAACTGGATTAACTAGTGAGATCCTAAATGATTTATTTAATTCATCATCTGACAATTCAGAGTTTTCAAATAAATGTTTCTTTGGTATCCAATTTACGTTAGATCTCAATCCTATAATTTTCTTATAGGTATTACATAAAGGGATTTTTGTTAAAAAATCAGTTCGCATGTTCAAAACCGTGCATGTAAAAGTGATAAAACTAAAAAATATATTTGGGATTTAGTATGAAAAATTATTTTTGATAATGTATTTAGAATTCATTCATTTATTATCACGCCAAAAATTGCATAAAATGGATTAAGGAGTTGAAGCGCGCATCGTACATTCTTATGAATTATCTAAGAGAACGAAGGATTGACCCTCCTGAATCAGTAGCGTTCACTGGGGAAGGGGCATAGTGGCTCAAGCCCTCTGAAAAATTTGAAGGGCCTCCTCAAAATTTAGAATTATTTTTGATAATGATAGCTATAAAAAAAGGTAATTTTAGTTCATGTTAAAAAAAATTTAAAAATTATTTTGTGACACTTATGATTTAGCCTAATGGCACCCTTGTCCTGAAGGCTCGTATCTTGATCCAAATCCGGACTCAGTTTAAAAGTGTCGGATTAAAGGGTTCTAGTGTCAAAAAAAATTATTTAAAATATTTTAAAAATAATAAATTATTTTTTTTATTTTCGCATTTTTCTAAATTTCCTGGTTTATATATTCAATTTATGCAATATTTTTAATTTATATTAATTATGAAAAGTAAAATATTATGCATTTAATAGTAGGTTATAAGATTTTTTGTAAATGATAATGTATTAATATACTATATAATTGGAATACATTGCATCTTGATTTATAGAAAGTGAAATATTGAAAATTTTGTAGCAGGGGCATCACCCACCCCCCTCCTCCATCAAAAATTTATCTATTCTCGTAGATATCATTTTAAAATAATTCTCCCCACACATTTATTACCCCCTTTATATCATTATAGAGGAGAATTAGTAGGAAAAGTTAGAGAAAGTTAATAATCATCTAAAATAACGTTGTTATAAATGACCCCATTGTCATGACTAGAAAGAAAGCTTGCGTGGTGACGCCCCTTTGCGCAATATATCTAACGGTCATACATAGACATTATTTATATTATATCACGTTTAAAATGAGCGACGTCCAAGGCATTAAACAGGCGTTAATCACTTTAAAGCCATTATTGGTACAATTTATAGTTTAAAGCCGGTCTAACAATAATCAAAAGGCGTTGATCAGATAGCGTCTGAATTTGGCATTTATGCTGTTGGTATTTTATGTAAGATGGATGTCGAGCAGATCGTAGTGTTAAGGCAGTTTATAATAAAACTCTGTACACACATTTTAAATAATCAAGAAATTTTATCAATAATAATTGCCTCCGTGATTTGAAGAAGTTTCATAATTATATTAAAACAATTCTGTGTAGTACTGCTGAATGTAAGCTACGATTTATGTATTATATTATAATAATATAACTATTCTTTCCTTATATTTATGAAATGCATTCTAAAAAATTACTTCATTTTAATGCAATATATTTTAATTTTTAAATAACTTTCTCTTTTAGATATAAAATATTTTATATGAAATGCTCAGAGACCTTCATGGGCTGGGTATGGCAATCACATATATAATACCTAGACTGACGATTCATTAAAAGTGTACATCAATGCAAATCAGCTGGAGACACCATCTTGGTTATACTAATCATTATTAAATTTTAAAAGAGAGTCTAATTTATTCCTATATCTGATGCAAACTTTATTAAATAATTATTTAATAGTAGTTTTTAACATGAGAATAATTACTATATGCGTTACCAAAATGGCGGGTCTATCTGATTTTCTTTTAACGACGCTATAAAATGCATTTTAATGAATGAATCGTCAGTCTAGGTATTATATATGTGATTGGGGTATGGACCTGGTATTATATTTGTAACAGAAACAATTAGTTTCAAAGGCAATTAAATATATGATGAATTTAAAATATATATATTATTAATTGTGTACGACGATTATTTGTTTGTTTAGTAAAATATATATATACTGCGGTACAAAGGGTAAAAGATGTTAAATTTATAATAAAAATTGGTTTCATCACAATGGCGCAGTCGTTTCAAATGGAGAAATATAATATAAAGGAGTGAAATATGGAAGTTTATTTATCAAAAATGGAGTCTATATTATAATTTTCCGATGTCCTCACTACGTCATCGTGACGTCATGTCATCTCTACGTCATGTCACCGCTACGTCATGTCATCGCTACGTCATGTCATCGCTACGTCATGTCATTGCTACGTCATGTCATCGGTATGTACTTATTTTTATTTTTTATTAATTTTATTTTATTTTTTTTATAGAAAATATTTTTATAGAATATTCTCTTAATTATTGGTTATGAAGATGAGTAAAAAGTTATCATAATTATTCGTAAATTCAAGTATATTCTTTCTCAATCTTAATTATTATAAAGTAATATATTTTACCTGTAGACTAATTATTGATTACGAAGATGAGTAAAAAGTTATCATAATTATTCGTAAATTCAAGTATATTCTTTCTCAAAATTATATTGGGTTTTTTAATGTTAAATGTTAGACTTTTGTTATTATTTATATAAAGTAATATATTTTACCTGTAGAATAATTGGTAAATTAGAAATTTCCTCTTCATTAATTATAAATTTAATATCTCTGGGCTTGGTTTCAAAATTATTAGGGAAGGTGGGTTAGAAAAATTTTTTTTAAATATTAAGATCTTGGATGCTTTTTTCTTGAACCTATATTGGTATTTTTTAATGTTAAATGTTAGTCTTGGATGCTTGGATATTTTTTCCATGTTAAATGTTAGTCTTATGTTATTATTTTTATAAAGTAATATATTTTATCTGTAGACTAATTGGTAAATCAGAGATTTCCCCTTCATTAATTATAAATTTAATATCTCTGTGCTTGATTTCAAAATTATTAGGGAAGGTGGGCTTGAGAAAATCTTTTTAAATATTAATATCTTGGATGCTTGGATATTTTATCCAGATATTGTAGGCTTTACCATATATTGGGATTTTTAGTATTAAATGTTCGTCTTGGATGCTTGGATATTTTTTCCAGAAATTGTAGGGTAGAACCTATATTAGGATTTTTTTTATTATTAAATGTTAGTCTTATGTTAATATTTTTATAAAGATATATATTTGAACTCAAAGAATAGTTTTCAGTAACATACAAAATGTATACTGATTATGCTATGCTGACAACATATGTATCCTTACTAAAGATATCATACATTCATTATTTTAACAACATTCTTAAATATGGGAAAAATCTAAATTTAAAAAATACTAAAATTCTCTTTTCCTTTCTTTCCCTTTTAATTACTTTTATTACCTTCCCCTTTCTCATCATTTCCCTTTCCTATCTTCACTTTTTAATTTTCTTTATCTTTACCTTTACCTTCCTTTCCCTTTTAATTTCCCTATTTTCGTTCCCTTTAATTTTCTTTTATTTCCATACCTAGGCTACACACTTTAGGCGAAAGCTGGGCTTATCAAAAAATAATGTCATTCAATTCTTAATTCAAATCATATTCAAGCAAAAGAAATATACTGGGTCATATGACATGAAGCCCAATAAAATCTACGATATGCAAAATAAAGTTATTCATCTATATATACTAAAAATGCTTATACTTTTCATTTTAGAATACTTAGCTTATGATGGATGATATTCCCACTATATCTAGAGAGGTTAACCTAATATTGACTCCTCTTCAGGTTTAATACATTAATATATTTTTTATTTATTCTTTTGTTTTTATTTTAGATAACAAGCAATGTCCCAACCTCACTTAATGATTGTACAGGTGGTATATTGACTCCTCATCAGGTTCAATGCATTTATTTTTTTTATTTATTCTTTTGTTTTTATTTTAGGTAACAAGCCATGTCCTAACCTAAGTTAATGATTGTACAGGTGGTGATTTATGCGTCATTAATAAAAGAAAAAGATGGCAGATCAATCAAAAAAAGAAACGCACTAGGGATAGCGAGGTATTCCGTCATTATTCATTACTTTCACCTACAACCCTAAATGGGATGATATTATACATTAATTTTTTCTTCTGCAGACGACTGCCCAGATTTATTTTGTCTCCTTTTCCATCAAAAATTAAAATTTCATAAAGGATTTACTCTTAATTTTACCAGACACACAGAGTAATAATTAATCCTCATCATTTTTTTAAAAAATTACCTAAATTTATATGGCAAGAAAAACAAATTTCTTAAAAAATATATAAATAAATTGCATATAAGTTTCATTAGTATTGAATGGCATTTTTGTAATTTAAATAGATAGCATTTTTTTGTACTTAACAATAGATATAGATAGCCCTTATCAAGTTTTTTGATAAAAGGAGTTAACCCACTAATTGGTAAATCTGAGATTTCCCCTTCATGTGTTGATAAATTATTTAGAAATTTAACTATCTCCGGGTTTGGAAAAAAGTTTTGAAACTTAATATGGGATGGACTGGGCTTGAAAAATATTCCTCAAGATTAATATTTGCTTGCACCTGACTTGGGAATATCTTATACAAATTATTATGGGCCGGGCTAGGAAAAAATTTTCAAAATTATTATGGGTTGAGCTAGGCTTGAGAAATTTTTTTATAAATTATAAAGTCTTGAACGCCTGGAAATTTTTTCCAAATATTATGAGCTTGGACCTGGCTTGAAATTTTTTAATGTTAAATGTTAGTCTTATGTAACCAGTAATATATTTACAAAGAATTTTGGTATTGGGTACAAGCTCATTTAAATATATTTTGACTCAAATAATAGTTTCCACTCTTAGACCTAATGGGTTGGACTCAATGACATTGCTTGGACTTGACCTAAATGGGGAGGGGGGGGGTTAAAAATAATATAAATTGGATATGATTTTTAAATAAAAGGTAACATCTTTCTTAAAAAACGAATAAAATTTTCATTCTTTGTCATTTTTGACGGGCTATCTACTAGTTCATATTTAAAATCGCAAAAATAGAAGACAAAAAATCATTTTTATTAGCGAATATTTGATTAGAGGTTTATTCTAAATTTAAATTATTTAATTTGTGTTTGCCAAAGACATTAGAGGAAATATCATATGACATAATTAAATTTTTAAAAAATTATTATATGAAGAAGACAAACTTCATGTTAGAAAGATATTATTTCTTTAAAATGGAACAAGAAAAAGATGAAACCATCGTAGAGTATATTAATAAATTAAAGATAAAGGCAAAGACATGTGAATTTAAAGATATGTATAATACAGTATTGCGGGACAAATTAGTGTCAGGAATTAATAATGGAAAAATATTAATGAAATTAATTAACACGCAGGACTTGACATGGGAAAGTGCAATACAAATCGCGACCGCAATGGAGACTACAGAAATGATGTCGTATGAAAAATTATCTGCAGGGAAGGAGATAATAAAATCTCAAAAACAGTAACAAGGGAGCAGTATGAGAAGTACAAACCAGTATCAAAAATTATTTGCTATTGTTGTGGATTAGGAGATCACATAAAACCTAAGTGCCCTAATTTGAATGCCATCTGCCATAATTGTGGGATAAAAGGACATTTACAAAAAGTATGCAGAAGGAATCGTGGGAAGAAAGAATATATTCGAAAGATAGATGTTCCAGAAAATGAGCGAGAAAGTTTTGAGGATTGGGAATTTCCAGAGGAGTCTAGAGAAAAATTTGAGGTGAAATTATTGATAGATAAAATTTATATTAAATTTTTAATTGACACAGGATCGGCAGTCTCCATTTTGAATATAGAAGACGTTTACCGTTTAAAAATACCATTAACAAAAACGGATATTATTTTAAAATCTTATAATAATGTAATGATCAATATTAAAGGTAAGTGTATATTACCCGTTAATTATATGAATAAAGTTATATATCATGAATTTATTATTGTAAACAATGGGATTAACTTGATAGGTAGAAACCTAATAAATAAATTAAAATTAATAAAAATAAATCAATGTAATATAGTTAATGAGGTTTGGGAGGATAATATTGTATATAAATTTTCCTTATTATTCACTAAAAAATTAGGTTTACTAAGAGGTTTTAAGGCCAGTTTAGCGGTAAAATCCAACCCTCAGTTTCAGTGTATGAAAAGTAGACCGATACCATTTGCGTGGAAGGCAAAACTCGAAACGGAATTACAACGACTGAAATCCATGGGAGTTTTAGAAAGACTAAAATACTCGAATATCGCTTCTCCGATTGTACCCGTATTGAAGAAAGATGGATTTTTACGAATTTGCGGTGATTTCAGACAAACGGTTAATGCAAATATTTTGATAGATAAATATCCTTTACCCAGAATTAATGAATTATTAGACACACTAGGTAATGGGTGTAAATATACAGTATTAGATTTTTCCGAAGTATTTTCAAATAGAGCTAGATGAGGAGGCAAAAAAACTATTAGTAATCAACGCCTAGTGGATTGTATCGTTTCACACGACTTCCGTTTGGGGTAGCCTCAGCGCCAGCGATTTTTCAACAATCAATGGATTCATTATTAAATGGATTACCTGGAATAACGGTATATTTGGACGATATAATAATTACGGGGGAATCAATTGAGAGTCATAAAAAAAATTTGATAAATGTATTAAAGACGTTAGAAATAAACGGTATGAAATTAAATCTAAAAAAATGTGATTTTTTTAAAGAAAAGATTGAATTCTTAGGCCATACCATTAGCGAAGAGTGAATTACGACAACAAATAAGAATGTCAATGCAATTTTAGACGCATCATTACCAAAAAACGTCAAAGAATTACAAGCTTTCATCGTTATAATAAATTATCAAAAATTTATAAACAATTTTTCGACTATTTCCGCTCCATTATATAGGCTTTTAAGGAAAGATGTGCCATGGAAATGGACAAATAATGAAACAATTGTGATTAATAAATTTAAAAAATTAATATCAGAAGCACCAATTTTAACACATTATAATCCGGAAAAACCGATAATTCTAGCTGCTGATGCGTCTCAACATGGAATAGGATCAGTTATATCTCATATCATTAACAACGAGGAAAAACCGATTGGATACGCGTCTCGAACATTAAATGCTGCCGAACGAAATTACAGTCAGATAGAGCGTGAGGCTTTAGCAATTATATTTGGATTAATTAAATTTAAACAATATTTAATTGGCAGGCATTTCATTATCATTACTGACCATAAACCCCTAATATCGTTACTTAATCCACATAAAAGAATAACAGATATGTCATCAAGATTAGTAAGATGGTCATTACTTAGCAAATTATGATTATGAATTGGAACTTCGAGGGACGAAAAAGAATAGTAATGCGGATATGCTTTCCCGGTTTCCAATTTACGGTAAACCATCGGCTTGGGAAGAGTTAGATATTAATTTAATAGTATCGGATGCTCCACAATTTATTTCAGCGTTAGATATAAAAGCACACACAAGAAATGACCCGGTATTATCAAAGGTTTCACGTTACCTTACAACTGGATGGCCAAAGATAATAGAGGAAAATCTAAAACCGTTTTTCCAGCGCCGAAATGAACTCACGATGGAGGCAGGGTGTATATTATGGGGATTAAGAACCATAATTCCAAAAAAATTACAAGTAAATATTTTGTCTTTTTTACATATGGGGCATCAGGGTTATACTAAAACAAAATTATTGGCACAAGAGAATGTTTGGTGGCCGAATATTAACGAAGATATCGAATTACACGGTAAGAATTGTGAATTATGTCAAACAAATAATCCTGGCAATAAAACGATCATAGGGAAATGGCCCTCCGCAAATAAACCATGGGGAAGAATTCATTTAGATTTTGCCGAACCAATTAACGGAGATATATATCTAGTAATAATAGTTTTAGTAAATGGCCTGAAATACAAAAAATGACGACGAATAATTTTACTACTGAATTCAATTTATACATTCTAACGCAGAATAAAAAAATGCTTAAAAGATGAAGTTAAGTCTATTATCTGACTCTGTTATTGTGTTGAATATATTGTTTTGGATATCTTTCAATTATTTTGCTATCTTATCAAAAGAATCTTCTTTAATTCGTCATTATTAGTCACAAAAAATATAATTTTTAACACACTAAACTTATATTTATTTAATAAAAATCAGTTGTATCTAGGATTAATAAATTTTTTTTTTAATTTAAGTGAAATTAAAATTTTTTTATTATATTTCCAAATTTGTATAAAAATGAAAAATTAAAATAAAAAGTATAGGAAAAGTTTAGAATTTTTTATACCGATAAAGAAAATGTACTGAGAAAAACTATGATATATTGATATTTCGAAAGTATAGCCGGTACACAAAAAAGGTATTAGAAATAGTATCATCTATTTTAATAACTCACAATAAAATAATAAAAAGTAGAGCCAACTATCTTCAGAAAAAAATGTTTATATTTCGCTGCAATATAGGGCTTTTTAAACCGCATTTTTTGATAGAATCTATTCTAAAATAAATTAGCATCGGATTTGGGTCTTTAAAAAAAGATTTTTGGATCGGATCATCCGTATATTCCCGAATCGGACTTCTGAAATAAAAATGATTAACCGAAATAACTAATTACAAAATTAATACATAACCATTAGGTAGTGCTTAAGTAGTACGTTCTAGTAGTAGTAATACGTTTGGTAGGTAATTTAAAAAGAGAAAAAAGGCTATAAAATAGAAAATAAACTGTAAAAATTGGCATCATGCCTGAATGGAAAACATAAAAGTTCTAAATATCGGGTTTAAAATATTTACTACCTTATTTATTAATTCTTCGATCAGTTTCGCCAAACATATAAATAGTAACCATTTTAAGCTAAATAAAAATCATGATATCGCGACTTGTGTGAAATCAGTAAAATTAACATTAATTCGAACTTTATTAATATATTTTATTGCTTGAACCCGTTTGGTAGAAAGTTTTAAAAAAGGCATTATTGGTAAAATAAGAAAAAAAATATAGAAGCATTGAATGGGTTACGCCAATATTTAATGCTTAATTAATAAATCATCGGTTTTATCCCAAGTTATAAACGCAATTTAAAAACATTAAGGGGTTTTTATCGATTTAAAACTTATGATCTTAAATATCATTTGATATATATAAATAGTCTTATGCCTCATTTATAGTAAACAAAATCCCGCGATGTGTAATTCGTCGTTAAATGACGACATTTGTATAATTTAACATTATGTATTTAGTATAAGCAGAGCAATGATTGCGATGTCATATTTAATATAAGGGGGCATTAGGCTGCATAATATTCCCACGAAATAACAGTTGATTTCTCGCATACGAAAATGAGTTCACATTAGATACAAATTTTTGGCGAAAATTCAAACATAGGTTCTATAGCTAGCCTAGCTTAAATTTATTAACATAACACTTATTATTTAAAAAAAACTAATTTAAAATGATAGATAAATTCATTCTAAACTATGTTTATTAATTATAAGTTATATTAGGCTCTGGTTAAATATTTTATTATAATTTATACTTCATTTCTATCAGGTTATTACCTATTATATTAGATCCTGAACAATGAATGTCTTGGTACATAATGAGTGTTTTAATTATAATTTTTATATTTTAATCTTTTGATGGTAAAATATCATTGTCTCAAAGAAAATAGTAATATTTCTTAAGCTTATAAAAAATTAATAAAGATTGAAATCTACATCAACTTTCATAAAAGGTTTAAAAAAGTAATAGCTCTTACTTTATGTTGATTTAATTATACAATTTAAATAACTGATTACTAAGAAAATTTTAAATGTGGAAAAGTAAATGATCAAGAAAAATTCATCATCAGATATATCTAAAATGTTAGATGAATAAAGGATTAGATTAAAGATCAGTAAAAGGAAAGAAAATAATGTTTGACATTTTTTATTTTGAATTATATTAAAACAATTAAATATTAATAAAATGGTATGTTTATACTTTATAATTTTTTTTTATCTTAAACTTTAGAGAGAAATGAATAAGGAATTTTTTTTATCGCATTTCATTTATTCTGATTTTTAATTATGTAAAGAAGAGCATCTGTAACTATTTCACGTTCTAAATAACTGTAACGTAACCATTAACTTTTTTTGAGGTACAGTGATAATTTAACTGTTATATTTTTTCTTTAAATAACGGTAACCATAAATTTTTAAGTAACATCCTCCACCCTGGTTTATACCATAAAAGAACAAATAAAGTTGTAATATGATGATCTTAGAGGCACATTCATGATAAATTATATTGTTATGTTGAATATAGTCCTGCACAATCCGAAGCCAGTGTTAAAATATTTAAGCCAAACAAAATATTTTCCTCTATTTTTAATAAAATAAAATGATAATTAGGACTTCCTTGGGATTATGTAGCAATAGATTTTTATTTTATTTAACATTATATTTTTTAATTAAAAATTTTGGATCGGGTATTCAAATAATTATGATAAAAGGTCAATTTATTTAAATAATTAATAGACATTTATAAAAATTTTAATAAAATCTATGTATATTATTTATTGTTTCATAACTATAAAATTATTTACATTGTAATTATATTATGTTGAAAAAATATGAAGAAATACGATTAATCTAGTATAAAAAATGTTAATTTTTCAACCCACTGTAGGTTTTAAGTTTGATACCTATATTTTTTGAAAGTGGGTGCACTAGAAAGTAAAATACTATAATTATATTGAAACACATTTAAAACAAATAAAAAAATTTATTTGCCACGAAAAGCTATGGGAAAATAATTGATAAAACCGGTAATAATCTATGTATGTACAATGTCCGAAGATTATTGAATGATTTGATAAGTGTATCTTTATATTAGATGTCATTCTAGATCACACAAAAGATTTAGAAGATCCACCTTCAAGATAACATACAATCTGTTGAAAATTAATTTAAATACTAGAAATAAAAATTATATAAAACTATAAAGGATTACTTTGTTTATCCCGGGTAGGTAAAGAATGGTACCAATGATTGGAACCCTTTTTAGAAAGCTAATAACGACTGGGAAGAATCCCCTAAAAATTAAATGTTATATGTTAAAATTAATAATCACAACTAACATTTTATATTATATGGTGCGTCCAAAGTCAAAATTTCATTTAAAAAAAATTAATTCAATACTGAAATTTACTAAATCGAGTTCGGGCGTCTAATGTATAAATGCGAGAATCATTTGTTTTTTTTTGAAAATTTTTTTGACTTTGGACCTATGAGTAAATATAACAGTAAAAAAAATTATTTTTGTTGTGTAATATTGATATGGAGGGCCCTCAACAAAATATTGCTAATTTATCAATTATTTAAATTCAACTAATTTTTATTTTTTATGTAATTTATAATCAAATCTGTTAATTCACCATAAATATGTGACGAAAAGTGATTGAAATAATCCGTCAAATCTAATCCGATATATGTAATTTCTGATCAAAACAAGTAAGAACCCCCCCCCCCCCCTTCTAAAATTCTTAGTTATGGTTCTGTTGATATGCCTATTTATATTTACAGTAGAGACTTTAAATAAATTTTGAATATCGGTCAATTTTATCGGCCTAATATAGTGCTTACAAATTGAGAGTTTTTACTTTGCATTTTGTTTTCATGAGTGCATTTAAAATGATAGTGTTCATATTGAAAAAATTTGATTCGATATAAAATCTAAATAAAAGCAGAAATAATTGAGTTATTTAATTTACACAATATGGACTGTGTGCGGTGACGTAATAGCCACAGCCGCAGAGATAATTTTGCTAAAGAACATGACACCCTTTAGAGACACATGAAAAAAATTTGCATTCGGTTTCTGCACTCCATCACACCATCGATCATTGGAAGTCTCTTCCCTAGTTGCCCCCCCCCACCGAATCTAATGTAAATAAACTGAGATTTTCTCTATCTCCGTATAGAGAAGCCAATCCGACATATGCCTGTTAATTCAAAAAGTATCATTCCCTGCATTGAAAATGATGTAGCGGCAAATTTTTAAGGCATAACAAATTCAATTAAAATATGGCACGCGCCATAAAATCTGCTGATATTCAACCTCGGACTCTGGGACAAATGTAGCAAACGTCCGGCTTATTTACGAGTGCGTCCATTCACACCCTCTCATACAAATCATGATGCTATAGCCAACACAAAACATATGACAAATCATCTGCGTTACTTTAAAAACATTTATCCATGCTCATCATAGCTACTATATTAATTTCCTCAGGCTTTCACACTCTAGACTTCTTGAAGGAGAAACACATTATATCCAGAACAGAAAATCAATTGTCATCAGTCATTTTCACAAAAAATGAAACTTTAAAAAAAGAAAGATTTTCAACTTTTTTTAATTACATCTAAAAAAACTTTTAATTTTTTATTATAATTTTTCGCTAAAAAAGGCCGTCATATTATTTTTTTTAGGAAATAAAACCCAAGTTCTTTAATCAAAATATAATCTGGTTTTTTATAAGATTTTCGTCTCATGATTCAAGTTATAACTTGATAGATATTAATAAGTCCATTTTGTTTAGACAAATAAGCCTTTTTTATGAATAAAAATTATATGTATATTTTTATATCTGTGTTTCTTTATTTGATCCAATGCAATAGTATTTTCAGATATAACAGGTTGTCACTAAAAATAATTAAATTATATTAAAAACCATTCTTTAGTTGAGCTATCATTTAATTTAAATTATACATTATTTTATTATATATTTTTCAAATTTAATTATATATTAATTTTAGCCGTTTTTAGATCAAATCAAATGATTAATAGATCAATTTTTAATTGATTTAAAACAATAAAATACTATTTTATTAGATATACACTACAATTTTTTTTATATAAATTCAGCTTCTGGTCGGGCGTGAAAAATTAAGCCCGATGCAGATCACTAATTTGCATCGCAATCAAAAGATTGTAGAATATATTTTTGAATTGGATGTCATCTTTTTCTTTGCATACAAACTAAGGTCTCATTAATAAGCGCAATGATGTTGAATTGATTCTGTAATACAAATCACAATGGAGAGCAATGCCATGCTCACATTAAAGAGGAATCGTATAATAATTTTATGAACAAATCAGTTTTTTCTTTATTGCAAAAAGGATTACAGTTTTCCATTATATAGTTTGACGTAGGTAAATACTGGCTTAGTCCGAGGTGTTAATATCTGGGCAATGATAATGCCCGTGCTTGGACAGCATATATCTATAGTAACCTACTAAACAGTATTCAAATTTTATCAAAATAAAGGTAAATACCCTTTAAATATAAATTAACCCTTAACTATATAGATATGGTGTCCTAACCTTTAAAGTTACAAATTTGATTTCAACAGTTTAATTCAGCCATTCTTTTTAATCGGCCTTAAAAATTTCTGTATTTTGCTGCAGCCCCATGGGCTTGCTCACTTATCTTAAAGTCAGACTGCCCCTCAAACAGCAAAATATATTAGCCTTAAAAAAATAACTCTTCTATATAAAAGGCATATAATTATTTAATAAATATTAAAATTCTAACCCAAAGAGAAGAACAAATCCATATGCCTCAATAATGATTCCCAAAAGAGGCCATCCTACTAAAACTAAGGCAACGCCAGTGGCGAATCCGAGGCTGCCCTTCCATTTATGTTTTTGGAAGAAAAATTTGATTGTTCGTTCAACACCTATAACACAGACAAGTCCCACCACAAATAAGAGCTGTTAAGTTATTATAACAAATATAATTTCGTTTTTTAGAGTGATTAATACGTTTACAGTTTTATTATATATATTAATTATGCTTATTTAATACCCATATTAAATATTTACGTTATGAAATGTTAAATAAACACCCTTAACATTCCAAGACCTACAAATTAAGTGAAAATTAACATTTAGAGTTGGGTAGGTCCTTAAAAAAAATCTAGACTAAAAAAATTTATCAGTATATAGATACAGGTACCTTATTAAAAATATCAAAAAGATACAAGATAATTTTTCTAAAAAGTTTATCTATTCTTTCTCCATGATAAGCTATAAAGTCGATGAGGAAGGTCAAGATAAGCTTTCCAACCCTGTTCAGATATGATCGCCCCCCCAACTGCTATTAAAGAATTTTTTGACCCAACAATATGAATGGAAATGTATAAATAAACCAATTATATAGAGAAATATCATATATATGTTGATTGTTTCAATGAACTAAAACATCATTCTAAATATATGGCATGTAATTTACTACTTGAGAGGCTATCTCAAATTTTTTCGAGTCATTTAGATTTTTTTTAAAATTATTTATTAAAACACTAATACATAATATTTATAATATATATAATAAAATATTTTAATAATATTTTAAAATATCATTTATTAGGCTGCACCGATTCACAATTTTTTCACCGATCCGATATTTATTTCAAAGGGCACCGATACTGATCCGATGTCAATATTTACATTGATTTTTTTATATAATATAATATAATGGAATAAAAATCGGTGTATAAATTTTTTTAAAAGGCGAGTTATCAGAATATTCACTTATCCCGGCTCTTAAAAAATCATAAAAAAGTCTCAAGGCTTTAAAATTCTAAAAATATGTCTTTAAATTTGTAAAAAAGTTTTTATTTATAAGAGGTATAGTAAATATGTCCTATCCTATTAAGTTAAGCCCTTAAAGAATGTTGTTTTTTAATGATGATCTAAATTTTTACTAATACTATAAAATTATATTCTAGCTCACCAGTGTTGTTAAAGTTGCGTGCTATTTTTTTTAAGTAGCGATAACTTTTGCGGCTTTTTAAAAAAATATCGATAGCTCGCTACTAATTTTATATAATAAATACACATAAAAATTATTAAAATATATTTAAAATTAATCAGGGTTGACATGTCGGTCAACTGACCAGTCAAATACGATCAAATGCTTTAAAATATTATTGGCGAATAAATATTTTGATATAATTAACTAGTAGGCATTAAAAGCATGTTTATTAATCTTATTAGGTTACAATTTATTTAAAAATATTTTATCATGAAGGAATCGTTTTAATTATAATTTTATATTAAAATGTAAAATTTCATGTTAAAATATAATAATTTAGCTAGGTCATATTTTTACGTACGTGATTTTTAGCGCTTTTGCCCTCTGACGTTGAAGGTTCAACAGAGCTAATCTAGGTATTCCTTATTTCCATCTATTTGGAACTAAATTAATTTGGGTGAAAAAGTAAAATATGAGGAGCCCTCTACACGTTTGTTGGCAAGCCGCAATTTCGAAAAATATTGCTCAAACGTCTCTATGCTTAATAAAAAAGAACGGGGCAATAAAAGAGTACCCAAAAGCCATAGTATAATTTAATTATTTTAAGGGTATGGGGGGAGGGATAAAGTGGATAAATAAAGAATGTTAATTTCTTAATAAATTTAATTTAAATTTTATATTATATTTAGCCGAGTATCCATGATATTAATTCTCATTTATTTTATTTCCACTTGCTGCATTTGAATTTATATATTAATTTTCTTTTTAGTTGTTCTGGTCAGATTTACAAAATAATTTATTAAATTCTGGTAAAAAAAATTATACATTATATTTTATAACATTAAAATTATTGAAATAATTGGTCGATAATTATAAAATAATTAAGATTGATTAACTTTACATCAAAATCTTTTATAATTATATTAGTAATTATGGTCAAACCAAAGCATCAAGTTTGTAAACATTTTCAAGAAGTAAGCGATGGTAAATCAGTTAAAGCGGTATGCAGGTTTTGCAAGATGTCCTATATTACCCACAATGATAGAATGGTCAAGCATTTATTAAGCAGCTATACTATGTGCCCTGTCATAATTAAGGAAAAATTTTATTCAAATTCCAAAATAAAAACCTCTTCAAAAAATCACACAAATGTAATTTGTAATACTTCTAGCTCTAATGAAGAATTCGGTGAAATTAGTGAGAATGATTATCAAATTGACAATATTTTGTTTTGTGACTCGGTAAAATTTGATTCCATTATCTCTGATCAATCTACAAGCAAGGCGATTAAATGTAAATTTATCTTGTATAACCGGTTTCATATACAGAATTAATCCTAAAGAAAAAAAATGAGCTCGATCAATTGTTTGCAAAGGCTGTAAGCAATTTACCTTTTCACATCACTGAAAATCCCTACATCCAAGAATTTTTTTAAAATAAATACGTCCTATTTATACTTTACCCAGGCGAAGGCAGCTGGCTGGATATCTTTTAGACAAAGCTTCAGGAGAAATGGAGGCGAGAATTGCAGATATAATAGAGACGCCTGTTCCAGTATTCTTCAAATTTTTAAATACTGAGGAAAATCGCCATACGGCAAATTATATTGCCCAGGAATTTAAAAATGTAATTCTTATATTGAATCTGGCAAAAGTATATTTTTTAGTTACCGATAATGCCGCTAACATAAAAGCACCCTGGAGATTTCTAAAATCAGAATCTATTTATAATCATAAACAATGTTATGGTTGTGCAGCACATACATTGCAGTTATTCTTACACGATTTTAAAAGATAAACGCCTTCAATTACCATATATCAATAATTAAAAAAATTGTTCAAGAATAAACACATGCCAGCTGCAGTATTTTCAACAACATGGTATTCCATCTGCATTAAGTACAATTAGCCAAACAAGATGAGCATTGTCAATAAAATGTATGGAACAAATACAAATATGTAAGACTCTAAAAGCATCAGTTGTTGAAGAAGCTGTATGTGATATTTGTCCCATAGAAATTACCGATAATATATTAAATGAAGTAATAATTTAAACGAAAAATTAAAATTTTTTAGCTCTACTCCAACCTTTGGCTACCTCATTGTTAAAAGTGCAAGGGAATAAATGTACTCCCATGTAAAAAAACGAGATGCTTAGTTTGGAAAAACACATAATACAATCATGCCATGATTCTATATTTTCTCCATCTGAGGTAAAAAAAATTAAAGTCATGTTTGAAGAAAAAATGATTTAAATACATGTGCTCACAATGCTGCTTATTTATTGGTCCCCCAATATCAAGGGGAGCATCTTACTAGTACTGAATTTGATGAAGTATGTGATATAATACAAGAATTTACCAATTAGATATTTTACAAGGTGGCGATGATCAAAATATTTCAATTGATATAATAAATTTCAGAAGTAAAAGCGGCAGACTTAATAGCCAAAATATGTGGAAAGTAATAGCTTCCATAAAAAAGAATTAGATTTTATCTTCAAGTTGGTGGAATGCGCTTTGCCCACCTTGCCCATTAAGAGAAGTGGCTAATATTTTACTAACATTTCCTAGTTCGACTTCTTCTTTAGAAAGAAATTGGTCGGTTTGGCGCAATATTCATATGAAAAACAAAAATCGATTGAAGACTTTTACAGCAAGAAAATTGGTAAGAGTAGATCATAATTTAAGATTGATTAAAAGAAAATAAAAATAATGAATATTAGGGCTGTGCCGATCGACTTTTTCACCGATCCAATCCGATATTTTCAGATATTAGTTTAAACCCGATCCGATACCGATATTTATATTAAATTTTCACCACCCCCCTTTGAACCAAATGTAATTAGGAAATCAATATTTTTTATGCAAAAAATCGAATTATGCATTTAATTTAATTTTTTTATTTCTACAATAATTTTAAAAAATTATATTATAATAAATAAAATAAATATATTTAATAATTTATCCATTTTATGTTGGTATGAATTATAAAATTGTAATATTAAATATATAAAATTATAATATATTAGATCTTTTTTAATAAATATGAGAGCCTCTAGATTTTCTGACAATAAGTTTCTAGGTTGTGGACTTTTTCCATAATTCAGACACCATATTTAATTTTATTTATAAAATTGGCGTTATTATTTAAAAAAAATAAAACTTTGGGTGTTCCTTTCTATTTTTATAAAAAAAACTAAAATACTATAAATCTATTTTAAAAAATAAATAAAATTATTTAGAAAATATTATTAATGTAAAATAAATATACATAACAGAAAATTTAAAAAAAAAGTAAAGTAAAAAGATCGAATCGGTCTTTACAGGTATCGGCTCGATCCGATATTTTTGGAAAACGCTAAATATCAGTGCTGATCCGATTCGATATTTAATATCGGCACATCCCTATTGAATAAAAATCGGAACAAGACTCTGCCACGGAGGGCGAAACATTAACTATTGGATGAATTAAAAAAAATATTATGAAATTTAATATTTCATAGATTCATTATATTATATATATCCAAAATAAAGTTAATATTGGCGTAAAAATACATTTATTTAAATTTGATCATATATGACCGGTCAAATGCACAACCCTGTAATTAATTCTAAAATCTTATTTTATTTAATTTTGAAATTGTAAATTTATATTTAAAAATATGCAGTATAAATCTAGTTTTAAATAATTAAAATTGTCGACCATAGAGATTGATATTGAAGATAATTTTGGTAATGATCATATCGATGATAGAGTTCCCTGGAAAATGATTATAATATGGAATTTCCTTTTCCTGAATTCGTAAAATATTTTAATTTCGATAAAAAAAATTAACATAGGGTATTCATCGCAAGATGAGACGGAGGGTATTATCATCATATAAGACTAGTAGTTCTATGAAAAATTAAAAGCGATATATCAAACAAATTTAATATCAATGTGTAGTCCAATTCTTAATCCTTAAAATAAAATTTGCATCAAAGCTGTATCTATAATAGTTTTTGAGTTAGATGAGTTTATGTGAAAGTTTATTTTCTGGCCCAGTCCAAATATGATGTTTCAACTGGCCATATGATATTATTCAAGAATTATATTATAAATTAAAATAATAAATAATATTAGCATTTCATTTTATCATTACTCATATTTAATAAATTATTATCTGGATGTTAAGCATGCATAATTAACCACTTATCTATTTATAAATTTTATCAAAACATATTAAAAAAAACTTATTTCAATCTTTTCACATTTTAACCAATTTTGAGAGAAATTGGTTCAATAAATAAAAATTTAGAGTGGTGGCCTGGCCATTTAGCAAACATGACCATCTGCTCATCCTATATATAATTTAACTATTACTATTCTAATTTTAGACTGACCCTTGCCAGATCACAAATGCCATCTACTATAGATAATTTTTTTGAAATAATAATAATGCTATTGAATACTTTTATTTTAAATCTAAAAATACCCATATATTTTTGATGATTTTTCTTATATAAAAAGCATGTATATTAAATTTAATACTGCATTGCCCAAGTGCTAGTGCTGAACGATTATTAAGTGATAGTTTATACTTTCTGATCGTCGCTCTGAACTTGGGATGACAGTATGAAATATTATTATTATTGAGATGCAATAAAAAAAATTAAATATATTTAAAATTTTAGTGATATTATATATTTGTGGAAATATTCAAAACATTTTTAATTAAATTCTTATTTCTAGATATGCTTTCTATCATAATTAATATATTGTGGCTGTTGGGACATTTAATTTTAAGGTTTACATATGCGTAGAATTATTATTATCATTAGAATTGCCAAAGGGTTGGATCAGTGATCTATTGTACACCATTTCCTTTGATCTGCCTTGAATTCAAATTTAGCCTATGCAGTTTTATATCTTAGATAAGTAATAATTTCTCTAATTCTTTTAATGAGATTTCCAACAAAGGGCACCTTTTTAATACCATGTTTTATTATCTCTTTTTGTTTTTATAAGAAAAACAAAAAAATTCCCGCAGTAATTTTTTTTATATTAATTACTGTTATAATAATATCATTAATAAATTTATTAAATGTAATTACATCCATATGTAAAAATGTGATAAGTTTTGGATTTTGATTGATTGAATTCTAAAATGATGTCAAAATAATTATTATTTTAAAATAGGTAGAAAATAAGAATTCATCAAGATCCTGATTGACATTAAAAAATTACAACAGTGATGTTGACCAATTATTAGAATAAAAATGTTTAAAATATGAAAAAATTAAATGTAGCACACCAATGTGTTTTTCATAAATGGTGGCATTTTTGGCATAATCAACAAAGTCAGTGGTCGACCATTCAGGTCTAAATATAATAGAGGAATTAAGCATTTTAAAAGATGATGTAATCAAAATATTTAAGTGATATAAATTTCAGAAATAAAAGCTAGCCAAAATATGTGAAAAGCAGTAACTCATAAAAGATATTCAGATTTTGAGCTTAAATTGTTGGAATAAGCTTTGCCCACTTTGAACACCCCAATTCTTCCTTTTACCTTAGAAAGTTTTCTAATCTGAGTTATACTTCTTTTTGAAAAAAATTTGTCTATTTGGGGTAAAATTCATATGAAGAAAAGAAATTGATTGAAGATCTTGACAAGCAGATTGGTAAGAATAATATATCATAACTTTAGAATGATTAAAAATATTTAAAAAAATGTTAATATTGAATATAAAGAAGAACAAGACTTTGCCATGGAGAGTGAATTATTATAAAATTTAAAAAATATAATTTAATATTACATAGATTCATATTCTATTAGATATAAAATAAAGTTAGTATAGTCAAAAAACATTTGAATATGACCATATTGATGGTCAATTGATCGAATCCTATTTGACTTATACACAACCTTGGTTTATCACCTTTTAATAAATATGAGAACAGGTTTTCTATGAGAAGTTATTCATATAATAAGTTGCTTGTATAGGTTTTCTAGGTAAAATTTATAAAATAAAAAAATCAATCTTTCCATATTGAAAAAATGCCAGGTATTTTTAAGATTAATGCTATCTAGAGAAGCAAAATGGTAATAGCTTTAAAAAAATAATTAAAAATGTCTAGATTTTTAATGTATGATGAAAAATTAAAGTTGTTATAAAGATTTTATTCATGACAATAAATATTGTTATTAAATGTAAAATTATTTATTTAACAAAATAGTTTAAAAATATGCACTAGAAATGTGATAACCTTAATGGTCTTATGTAAAATCAGGATAAGTGAAGATGCTATATATATAATCAAAGCATGATAGTTGTCATTTTAAAATAAAAATATTTTGAATATAAATTATAGAAATCTCACATTTCCAATTGCTAATAAGGCTTTATCAAAGAAAAATGTGACACCCAATAATATGAAAAATATCCCAAATCCAACAAGCCCAACACCAATTTCTAAAAAGAATGTATATTAAAATATATTAAATAATGTGAGTAATTCTTTTATTTTTAAATTCTATACTTTGGAAATCAGAAATTTGGATCATACAAGATGGTAACTGATAATTAACTCAAACTTCATGTTAATATTTTAAAAAATGATCACAACGTTGTCTATGGTAACTTGGCATCAAAACGAAAATAAAAATATGAACATTATAAATATCTATAATATGATGAAATCAAAATATTAATATTATAAATATTTAAAATCATAAATAATATTTGTATATTATATTATTGATATTTTAAATAATCACTTCTTAGAAGCATATTATTATTTTTCACTTCAAATATAAGAATTTGAAAAAATAAGTTATCACAAATATAAGTGAATTTATGGCTAATGACATATACCACCTAATATTCTCATCAAACAGATTATGATTCTATTATAATATATTAATCAAAAAAATATAAATAAAAGAATTACTAAAAATCTTTCTCAAATGGTTTATTAAATAATATATAAAATTAATCTGCGTTTTTAATAACCTCTCATCTAATTGTTATATAATCTGTCTTACATTTTATCCATTTTAGCATGCCCCTACTTGTTTTTAAAATATTAGCATACCTCAAGGCTTTTGGGATTACACTTTACGAAAAATTCATGATCTTGAAAACTAAACTATTTCTTCTTTCATATTATTTTTTTGTCGTTCGCATAAAACAAATGATCTCTTATTCAAAAAATATTTTAATTATTTTATTAAATGTATGCAGTCAAAATAGGATAATTGCGAAGCGTTGGGACTGAAAAATTTTAGCACTTATCCGATTTTTCGTTATTGAAAGACTAAATTTTAATTATTTATTATATAAACCAATTTTGTGCTGTTAAAATTAATATATTACAAAGTATATTAAATTGGTTGTATAATTATACGATGTATTATTATTAAGACTAGTGAGGTGTGATAGTGGAATTAAATGCTTATATTTGTTAAAAATTAGGCAGAGGTGGCATAGGGATTGTGGTAGTGGTGATATAAATATCATTTGGAGGCAACTGGGTGAATATAAAATAAACATATAGATATAAAACATTAGATAAAAAACAAAATAAACCTCCAGAGAAGTTCACAGTTCCTTATTATCTTGGCCACCAGTAACTCTAGAACGGGTAAGGAGTTTGTTGAATCGGCATTTTTTTCTTTGCTTATCTTTAATAATAGATTCATCATGTTTTGTAACAATGTGAGGGATTAAGATGGGGTTAGCCTAGACAAATAAAGAAATCAGCCACAAATATAAATAAACTATTGTTGAAATTAAACAAACATTAATATACTGTAAACCTGTAGAGGAGTCAATATTAGAAGTATATTTCTAATAGTTGGGATAATCAAAAAAATTTTTTTGGGGATTTATCAAGCCTATCATGTTCTTCTAAAGGTTTATTTTGCATTTGTTTATTATTAAATGATTATAGAATAATAATTATTAAAATATTTTTTAAAAGGACTAAGAATATTATTTTTGCAATTTGTGAATCTATGCAATTAGCATATAATAATTTTAAAAATTATACCTCATTCAAACTCTGTTATATTAGTTACAAAATTAATAGGTTATTTATAAAGCATTAGATAAAGTTTTCCCTAAAGAATCTTCCATAAAACCATTCTTATCCTATAAAAATAGCAGTTTGGTAAATTTTCTAAATCCCTAACAGATATGGATCTTACTTGGGAATTTATTAATGGGCTGCTACTAATAGATGTCTGTTCAAAAGATTATGAAGTTAATTTATGACCATCTAACGAATTAATGTTGATGGTAAAGGTAATTTGATTTACTAAAATTATTTCTTAAATTATCCTATATTTCTTTAATTATTAATCTTTATGTAAATTATTAGTGACACTTAAATCTACTATCATTATAATAATTAATATTATAATATACTTATATAATAAATTTTTTTTAAAATAAATAAATATATTAACTTAATATTTACAAAAATTAAATTTTTTATTAAATTAAATAATTATTAAATTATAAATTTTTTAAAAGAAGGGCCTTTTTTTTCTCATATTCTACTTCTTTCTTTGTTATACACATTACTAAACATATATATGGCTTCGATGTAGTTCCACCCAGCGTTTACATGAACGGGTTGGAAGAGAGGTAGGAACAGTTTGCATCATATTTTTTGAGGGGGGTAGGCGGCTTTAATGGGGATAGGATAAATTTTTTGAGGTTATCTATTAAATTTTAGGATCAAATAGGACAAAATTTATTGCTGTAAAAATTAATACTTATTATAGACCTATTATAATACAATTCATCAACCAAATCGATATAGTGCAAACAATCATTGACATTATTTTCCAAATAAAACTTTCTGCTATTCTTTCAAATATATTTTAAAAGGTTGCTATAATAATGAATTTATTGTAAATGATAGGGGTTTTAATTGAATTTATTATCTAAAAAATAACTTTATATTCACAAATGTAGATAGTTGGTAGTAGAGATAAAATAATTTAAGTTATTCTTTTTAAATTTTCTGAAAGAGTATTATAATTAATATGTGAAATTAAAAATAGGGAAACATCGCCGTCGAAGGCGGCGAATATTTTTTATGGGGGTAGGCATAGGTTTTTGAAGGGGATTTGCATCCAGTGAAAATCTTGTAATGTAGACGCTGGTTCCACCCTCTTATAACCTCATATCTGGGTTAGAAGGTTTGTTGGTATCCTTGAAAAAAAAAATCGGCATATTTATATGAAAGATGGGCCTTCCTATTATTCACGTACGCTCACATTTGGGCAGGTCTATGACCAACGTGCAAATAAAGATAAAGATATTACTTTCCTAAAATATTTTAAAGATATATACACATATTCTAAGGAAAAATAAAAAGGCATATTGATCCGGTAAGCGGAAAATAATTCTCCGGAAAAAAAATCCACGAAAATAATTCCCCGGAAAAAAATTCCCCAGGAAAATAATTCCCCGGAAAAAAATCCCCTTGGAAAATAATTCCCCAGAAAAAAAATCCCTGGAAAAAATATCCCCTGGAAGATAATTCCCCGGAAAATAATTCGCCGGAAAAAAAATCCTTGGAAAATAATTACCCAAAAAAATATATTCCTGGAAAAAAATTCCCCGGAAAAAAATTCCCATAGAAAATAGATCCCCGGAAAATATTTCCCCGGAAATAAATTCCCCATTTTTTAGATTTTAAATTAAATATGGGGGAAAATAAATCCCCGAAAAAAAAGGAAAAAATTCCCCGAATAATTTCTTTTAAATTATCAAAAAATAATCCCGCCGCTAAAATAACGAAAATATTTCTAAAAAATTATATTAGTATTTTCTGAACCTTGAGAGTATTTCTTTTTTAATTCCAAAAGGGCAATCTATAAATGAGAATTGATAAATCAGTTGGTAGCTTTTATATTTTATAATTTAGTAGATAGCATAAAAAGTATAGATTTGTGACGAAATATATGAAAATTATGAAAGAGGTTTTACAATTTAAAATTGAAAAGAAAAATGTAAAAGCAAATTTTTTCCTAGAAAAAGAAAGGTTATTTTCATAATCCACTTTTCATCTAGACTTGAATAGATATTATGAAAACAGGTAATTAAACCACATTATATTTACCATGAAGAAGGGGGGGGGGGTATTTCTAACACGCCACTAAGGTTAAAATATATATAACATTAAAATGAATAATATGACACTATTCTGTTCCGTTCGTTTATATCAGTTTGAATTAGAGACCTTCATGGGCCTAGATTTTAGGACCAAACCCGGCCCAGGCCTATCGTAAAAAAACTATTAAGCCCAGGCCCGGCCCGGCCCCTTTTTAATATTTAAAAAAATTCCCAAGCCCGGCCCAAGCCCGCTATAATATTTAAAAAATTTCCCAAGCCCGGCCCAAGCCCATAAAATTATTTTATGTATACTTAACTTATGCGTAATACTAATAGAAATAAAATATTTTATTTAGTAATAATATATATATATTATTAATAAATGATATAAACAAATATTTTCAAATTATCATTTAAAAATAATATATTATCTACAATTTCGTTAATTAAATTTGTTCTTCTTTCTTCAATAACCCTTCCAATAGTACTGAAATTCCGTTCACTGAAAACATTAGAGGCTGGAATTGCATGAATTTTTTGGCTAATCTTACCAATTTTGGCAAGATTTTTTCATGCTTCTTCCCAATCTAGGATTTTGCAATAATTTGATTATGATATTTATGTACCTTAATTTGATTTGCAAGATATATCATGTTTCATACTTATGATTTTTTATGGTGTATATATTCATAACCATTATAGTTTATGAAATTATGTCCTTTTTGAGTTTTCTAATTAAAATTTTATTTTCAAATATTATAAAAAGTTTACTTGAATATCTATTTGTCTACGTCTAACAATTGTTTTTGAATTTTCTGCTACTGTTGGGATTTTGCTTTGAATTTGACGCTAACTTGGGAAAATATATGTCATATCGAAAATGTTGGCCATCTTTGAGAACATTTTTGGGAATATTCCCTGATTTTCGCTGTTTCTTTTTTCGCTGTTTCGTGCCCAGGCCGTTGTGTTAAGTTAAGTAAAATTATACCAATTTCCGATTTAAAAAATATATACTCTCCCAAGGTGTATAGGAAATTTGATAAATAACACTAATAAAATCAGAATGATTTGTTATATTTGTCCTATTAAATATCCTTAAAATAGGCTAAATTTGAATTTAAAAATTTAGGCCCAAGCCCTATTGCAAAAATTTCCAACAAACCCAAGCCCGCCGCTAGAAAATTTATAATTAGGCCCAAGCCTGGCCCATGGGCCGTGGGCCGGCCCGGCCCATGAAGGTCTCTACTTTGAAATACGGATAAAAATAACATAATGGAAATTTTTTATGTTTAATACTATTGATTTTAAAAATTGTATTTGATTATAAATTTTCAAAAAAAGTATTGATCCTAATCATTGATCACAAAAGCTTATTTAATTCAAAGACATCTCAAGTAATTGAACGCTACCAGAAAATATACTATTTATTCGAAATAATATTTGTTTATTTTTATAAATATTATAATTTTTAATATATTTAATTCATCAAAGAAAACACAGGAGGGACTATAATCTTAA